AGATCCACCCTGCCGCTGCTTTGCCACCGTTTCGACCAAAACCCAGCGCGCCGTCCCACGGGCAGCTACCAGTCCCACATTTTTCAAAGAAACTGCCACCCCCCCCCAAAGTGTTGTGTCTGCACCTGCCTGCATTTTTCAAACCTTCCAATGACCAAACGAGCCCGAATCAACGACCGGTACAAAAATGTCTCGGGGGGGAAATGTCTCAGGGGGGGAAAGCGCAACACTGAGGAGCTGCGAACTGGTGGTGCATCTACTTATCTCCCACCAGCACCACGGGATTCGTAGTCTATCGGACGTCCCTAGGCTGTCGCCTACTGTCCCACCTGCCGCCCACTGTCCCACCTGTGCCAAAACCAAACTATGCCTGGGGTAGCCAGTGTGTCCCAGGCTTCGGTAAGGCGATTACGTCCAGAGTGGATCTGTCAAGTGAACTCAGGTCCAGGTCCCAATTGCGCGATGTTGTGCTCTGCTAGCCCGAACCTGGCCTTTTTTGGGACTACTTTAGGCTGATGATGGCGGTGTGTTCATGCTTTGTCGTTAGCACCGACCTACCACGAGCGGCGTCCCACCTTCGCTGCGCTCTCCGGACAGTTTTTGGTCCCCTGTCCCTCTGCCGACCTAGGGCGTCCGGGTCCAGGCCCGCCAGGTCTCAGTGTGCTCGGTGCGGTGCGGTTTGGTTTCATAGACAGGGGAGCAGTCCGAGTACATAGGTTTTTCTAGGTTTTTCTCCGGTTTTTTTCTAGGTTTTTCTCCGGTTTCTTGTCGCGCGGGTTTGCGCGGGCGAGCGCTGGGTCGAGCTGGGCTGTGAGGTGGGTTGGGTGGGCTGGGCCGTTTCGCTGCGTCTAGGGTCCGGTCCCCGCCCCGTCGGCGGAGAGTTACTTGTGGTGCGGCGGTCCCGTTTCCCTTAGCCAATCAATGCTGCGGAGCTGTTGGTGAAAGCAGCAGGAGCAGTGGCAGTAGGCACACCCGACTCGAGCGATCGAGCGGGCGAGTGAGCGGGTGTGTTTCTGCAGAGAGATCAGTGAGCGAGAGGAGGGAGGGTTGTGTTTCTGCAGAGAGATCAGTGAGCGAGAAGAGGGAGGGTTGCGCGGGGCGAGAGAGGGGGACAACAGGGGCGGGGCGGGCGACAAGGAGGAGAGGGTTGGAATTGAGAAGCACGCGTTGTAACTGGTGAGAGAGAGAGAGAGAGAGAGGGAGAGAGAGAGAGAGCGGACGAGACGCGGGGAAAGTGCGGGTGGTGCCAGTTGGAGCGGGCGGATGAGTGGGGCGCGTCAGATGCACAGTAGAGACCTAGTGGATGGACATTCAATTCGATGCTATTGCGGAGTTACATGGGACTGAAGGGAGATAGGGGATTTTTTTTTCGAGAGGTCGTCATCACTGTAGGTCGTACTGTGGAAGAAGTAGCGCGGGTGATTAGAGGGAGATAGGGTGCAGAGGGAGGGTCAACGAACAAGCGCGCGCGAAGCGCGCGCGGAAGTTGCAGCTGGGGGCGGGGCGCGAAAGGTTTTTGGACGACAGCCGGCGAGCGGCTTTGGAGATCGCATTCCACTGCGAGCGGACTGGAGGGAGAGAGAGAGAGAGTAGGGAGGGATATGTGTGCAAAGCGGAGTCAGGCTCCGTAGACTTGGCGGTGGTGGACCCGGGGGCGGGGTGGAAAAGGTCAGCAGGTGCGACACCTGGGGAGTAATAGCAGATCTTGAGTTCGTTGGTTGATTAGATTGGCTGACAACAGAGACAAGTAGGTGGTCTTAGGCGGGAGAAGGATTGAAACGGCAGGCCGACCGTGAAATGACACAAAGTTTCTGGTAGACTTCTCGCTCGCTCGCATGCCCTGGCCTGTAACTCAATCACACCGAACGAATTAACCAATCATCCAAGAATCAATCAATCAATCAATCAATCAATCAAGTGAGTGGTTCAGTCAATCCGGGAACCTCACAGGATTACCGATTATCATAGTTCAATTGGATATAGATCGGACGGGAGTGCTTGCGTGCACATGTGCGTGCGTCCGTGCTTGTGTAAGTGGGTGCGGGACATACAGATTTTGTGCGTGCACCTTTTCCTCTTCCCAGCAACAGGCGAGGACGAGGAGAAAACAAGTGGAATAAGTCTCTCTGCTGAGCGTGACAAGTCGACCTTCCTGCTCTGCGAGCTGATGTGCTCTTCGCTACTCTAGACACAGAGAGAGAGAGAGAGAGAGAGAGAGAGAGAGAGAGAGAGCTGTCTCTTATACACATCTAGATGTGTATAAGAGACAGCACAATAGCCACATTGCCATACACCAATGTGGTCAACTTTACTGTTCCCTGTAACTCACACCACGCCTCACACACTCCAGCCCCAGTCATAGGTTAACTTTCCATAAATCTCTTAAGTTCTTTTAATGGCAATTTAAAAGAAGTNAGAGAGAGAGAGAGAGAGAGAGAGAGAGAGAGAGAGAGAGAGAGAGAGAGAGAGAGAGAGAGAGAGAGAGAGAGAGAGAGAGAGAGAGGGCAAACTTCGTCGTCGTGCACTCGGCCTGTGTGTGCTTGCGTCGGTTCGGTGTTCATGCCTTTTGGACACGTGGATGAAGCTGTTAACAAGTGTCGTTTACAGGGAACGTTGGAGAGGTCGGCCCTTTGTGTCATCACTCTGCTAGATATTTCCTGTGCTTCAAGTTCTCTCTCGTGTGCGTGGAGCCGTCTGCATCCCGCGAAGCAGACGATGGATGGCTAGGGTTAGTGACAGAAGACTTTTCTGACTCGGCAGCGGAGCGGAATTGGTACGCGGTGCGTTCTTTCACCATTATGCCTTGTCATTTCGTCATACATTGGGGAGCAGAGCTTCCGCGGTGAGACGACGGGTGACTGGCATTGCTCCACGTGGCAGTGGGAAGAGGATTGCCTCTTTGGTAATCGGTGTCGTCATCATTTGTCATCAGAATCCGACGAAGCAAGCGAGCACGTGGCCTTCCGGATGCGCCGATTACGTGGCGGTGGATCTCTCCGGGCGGGTGGGGGGATTGACAGCTTGACACGTGTCTTCATGTGAAGAGAGTTTGATCGCTGACTGCTGCTGTGAAGGAGCTTGGAGATTGGTGATCGTCAGGAGCAAGGAGGGAAATGAGAAAGGAGTACGATTGAACGATTGATTGACACGTGTCTTCACGTTGGGAGGACAGGAGGGAGAGGAGGAAGTTAAAAAAGAGGGGAGCGCGGGCGGCGGCAATTCCGGTCGGTCGAAGGTACGGAAGGACAAACAAACGAATGTTCAAAGAAGGTACGGACTCGAGAAAGTGAAAAGTCACGTGTCCTCATCAAAGCTTAGCCTAGCCTAGACGCGCTCTCGCGCTCTCGCTCGGTCGCTCGCTTGCTCGCTTGCTTCCGTGGTTTCCATAGTGTGGACACACCCCAATCAATCAACAATATTAAATCTACAAATCACGGGCTGGAAGCAGGGTGAATCGTGCCACCATCTCAACGCAATTTACCTCGTCCTGCGTTCATTCTTCCTCCTGTTCTTCTTCTTCTTCTTCTCTTGCCTTCTCATTCTTTTCCTCCTTTCTTTGTGTTCTCCTCTTTCGCCGACTTCCTTCTCTCTTCTGTCCTCTTCTCCATTGCGACGATTTTGGTGCTGTCATTCTTCTCCTTGTTGGACCGAGTCATACATTCATTCCTCCTTACATTGAGACGTGACGCTCTCACCGAATCCCCACATGCCCCTTCTCATCTAATCACACGTCGTTCTCTCTGACTTCCTAATTGTAAGGTCATCGTTGATCGGTCAAAGCAATAGACATCTCCTCTCTTCTTGTTTGTCACTCCGACACGGAAGCCTGATCTGATTATCGTCCTTCTATCCCGTGGCACATAGTCAATCTTGTCCCCACCTCGTTGTTGTTCTCTAATAGTTGTTGCCATTGACTTTCCGCCCTGTAGGGCGAATCGTTGTCCCGGTTTTTTGTTTGCTGCAACGCCATCTCTCTCTTTCTCTTGTCTCTCTCTCTCTCTCCCCCCGCTTGTCTCCTCTCACGTACGTTGAGAACGGTCTTTCGGGGCGTTTCTCGTTGAAGATCGCCGGCTCCGCTGTGATAACGACGGCACGGAGGGGGAGAAAGGGGAGGGGGGAGATTGGGGCTATCTGTTAAGTCCTGCGGTCGAGGCGGGGCAGCTGCTGTGCTTGCCTGTGCGGCGAGGGAGAGAGAGGGAGGGAGAAAGGAGGAGGCAGGACGGAGAAGGGTTGGCGAGCGAGCAACAGGTGGAATACCCTGAAGGCACTGACAGAGATAAGACGACGCAGGACTCGCCCTCGGTTCTCAGGAGGCTGAACCTGTGGCAAACCTAATTTCGTTAGCCGTTTTTGGAGCGCGTTAGTATTAGAGAACGAGAGGAATATAGGAAAGAGGAGGCGCTGCAGTGGGAGGAACACGTGTGCGAGGAACACGTGTGCAGACCCGTGTCGGCCGGGATCTCGTTGCCAGTGAATAATAACAGGTTGACAGACAGTATACGGAGTATAATAACAGGTTGACAGACAGTATACGGAGTAGGTGGTCGACGGAAGAGGAAGTAGGAGGAACGGAGAGGAGGAGCGGAGGAGAGGAGACGATCGAAGCGGAGAGAACATTTGCCGCGCAGGTGAGAGCGAGCGAGCGAGAGAGAGAGAGAGAGAGAGAGAGAGAGAGAGAGAGAGAGAGAGAGAGAGAGAGAGTGGAGGGGGAACGGAGAAACGGTGGAGAGAGGAGTGACAGAAGAGGGAGGACAAGAGAAGGCAGGTAATCAGTATGACTAGAGTGGATGCGGCCATGGAAGATCGTGGGGACGATTACATTTCCGAGGCGCCGATGGCCGAAGCCGTTGGCAATACGGAGACGATGGAGGTGGTGGCATCGAACGACGGGATCCCGACTGTAGAAAACCAACCGTCTGTCGCGGCGGAAGACCCCCACAGCGGGACTTTCCGATGGCCGATCGACAACTTCTCGAAATTGAATGTGCGCAAACACTATTCAGAGATGTTCACGGTAGGCGGTCACAAATGGCGAGTGCTGATATTCCCCAAGGGCAACAACGTGGATCATCTGTCCATTTACCTTGATGTGGCCGACTCGGGGACGCTGCCTTACGGGTGGAGCCGCTGTGCGCAGTTCACCTTAGGCGTGATTAATCAGATTGACCCTAAGTATTCCATCAAGAAGGATACATGTCACCAGTTCAATTCCCGCGAAAGCGACTGGGGTTTTACCTCTTTCATGCCTCTTCAAGATTTGTACGACCACTCCAAGGGTTTCTTGGTGAACGATACCCTAGTCATCGAGGCTGACGTTGTTGTGCGCAAGGTTGCTGATCCTTGGGCTTACGACTCTAAGAAGGAGACGGGATTTGTCGGCTTGCAGAACCAAGGCGCGACCTGCTACATGAATTCCCTACTCCAGACTCTCTATCACATACCCTATTTTCGAAAAGCCGTTTATCACATGCCCACAACGGAGAACGATATGCCGTCCAATAGCATTCCGTTAGCGCTACAGAGTTTGTTCTACAAGATTCAGAACAGCGACACCAGCGTGGCGACCAAGGATCTAACGAAATCCTTCGGCTGGGACTCGCTGGACTCGTTCATGCAGCATGACGTGCAGGAGCTGAATCGTGTTCTGTGCGAGAAGCTGGAGGACAAGATGAAGTCGACGGTGGTGGAGGGAACGATACAGAAGCTGTTCGAAGGGCATCTGCTAAGTTACGTGGAGTGCATCGATGTGGACTTCAAGTCGACGAGGAAGGAATCGTTCTACGACCTGCAGCTGGATGTGAAGGGCTGCAAGGACGTCTACGAGTCGTTCGACAAGTACTGCATGGTGGAGCGATTGGAAGGGGATAATCAGTACCACGCGGAGCATCACGGATTGCAGGACGCGAAGAAGGGGATACTGTTTCTGAACTTCCCGCCGGTTTTGCAGCTGCAGTTGAAGCGATTCGAGTACGACTACATGAGGGATACGATGGTGAAGATCAACGACCGATACGAGTTCCCTCTGCAGCTGGACTTGGACAGAGATAACGGCAAGTACTTGGCCGTGGACGCCGACCGCAATGTGCGCAATCTGTACACTCTGCACAGCGTGCTCGTGCACAGCGGGGGTGTGCATGGGGGGCATTACTACGCCTTCATTCGGCCCACGTTGTCCGATCAATGGTACAAGTTCGACGACGAGAGGGTGACCAAGGAGGATGCCAAAAGGGCGTTGGAGGAGCAGTACGGAGGGGAGGAGGAGCTGCAAACGAACCCCGGATTCAACAACACGCCGTTCAAATTCACTAAGTACTCGAACGCCTACATGCTGGTGTATATCAGGGAATCGGACAAGGACAAGATTATGTGCCAGGTGGACGAACGGGATATCGCGGAGCATTTGCAGATACGACTGAAAAAGGAGCAGGAGGAGAAGGAGCGGAAGAGGAAGGAGAAGGCGGAGGCGCACCTGTACACGATCGTGAAGGTCGCGCGAGACGATGATCTGCGAGAACAGATAGGCAAGGACATCCACTTCGACCTGGTGGATCACGAAAAGGTGCGCTGCTTCCGCATTCAGAAGCACTGTTCGTTCAAGACGATCAAAGAGGAGTGCGAGCGGGAGTTCCACATTCCTGTGCAGTGCCAGCGGTTCTGGCTATGGGCGAAGAGACAGAACCATACCTATCGACCGAGCAAGCCGTTGACACTGCAGGAGGAGCTGCAAAACGTGGGTCTGCTAAAGGAGGCGTCGAACAAGACGCATAATGCGGAGCTGAGGCTGTTCCTGGAGGGCACCCCCGTAACTGCCGAGGGTGTGCCCGTGCCTCTGCCCGAGCGCTCCAAGGACGACATCCTCCTGTTCTTCAAGCTGTACAATCCGGAGAAGGAGGAGTTGAGGTACGTGGGGAGGATGTTTGTGAGGTGGCAGAGCAGACCTTTCGACGTGAAACAGAGGATCACCGACATGGTCGGCTTCGCTGCCAACGAGGAGGTGGCGCTGTACGAGGAGATCAAATTCGATCCGACGGTGATGTGCGAGCCGGTCGACAAGAAGGCCACCTTCAAGGCAAGCCAGCTGGAGGACGGCGACATCATCTGTGTCCAGAAGGCCGTTTCCGGTCGGGATCTCGAGAAGTACAGGTATCCCGACGTCCCGTCCTACCTGGAGTACGTGAGGAACCGGCAGGTGGTCCAGTTCCGTCGTCTGGAGAAGCCCAAGGAGACGCACTTCATGCTGGAGCTCTCGAAGCAGCACACGTACGACGATGTCGTTGAGAGAGTTGCCAGGCATATTGGCCTCGACGACCCGCAGAAGATCCGTCTCACCGCTCACAACTGCTACTCCCACGTCCCCAAACCTCAGCCAATCAAGTACCGCGGGGTGGAGCGCCTCAGCGACATGTTGATTCATTACAATCAGACTTCGGATATCCTCTACTACGAGGTTCTGGATCTTCCCTTGCCAGAACTCCAGGGACTCAAGACGCTGAAGGTTGGCTTTCATAATAGCAGGACGGAGGAGGTGTGTGTGCTCAACATCCGCCTGCCGAAGCAAAGCACGGTAGGCGACGTGATCAACGAACTAAGGAACAGAGTGGAGCTCTCCAACCCGAAGGCGCAGCTGCGCATCCTCGAAGTGTTTTATCATAAGATTTACAAGATATTTCCGTTGACGGACAAGATAGAGAACATCAACGATCAGTATTGGACGCTGAGAGCTGAGGAGATTCCAGAGGATGAGATGGACCTGGGGCCTGAAGATCGGCTAATCCATGTCTACCACTTCACAAGGGATGCGGCGTCCAACTCCATGGTACACAACTTCGGGGAGCCGTTCTTCCTCGCGGTGAGGGAGAACGAAACGCTAGCAGAGGTGAAAGAGAGGATCAAGAAGAAGCTAGGGGTGCCAGATGATGAATTCGCGAAGTGGAAGTTTGCTTATCTATCGCTGAGCAGGCCGGACTACCTGCAGGACACGGACATCGTGGCAAGTCGGTTCCAGAGAGACACGTATGGCGCTTGGGAGCATTACCTGGGCCTTGAGCACGCAGACACAGCCCCCAAGAGGCCCCATCAGTCAAACCAGAACAGACACAGCTTCGAGAAACCAGTCAAGATCTACAATTGATTGATTGGCCAGGGTCTTGTGATTGAGTGGCTGCTGGCTCATCGACGACGCTGCGTCGCACAAAGAAGTCGCACACATTGTCACATGCGCACTCTACTACTAGTCGAACTCGCTCTCTCACTCCTACGCTCTGTTGAACAGCACACACTGATTCGTTGATCGATCGATCAATTGGTGGGTTGAGTGGTTGGTTGATTACTTGATTGATTAATTGGCTGATTAAAATGAGTGGTCGATTGATTGACTGATTGATTGATTGGTTCATCAATCGATTGATTGATTGACTGACTGGTTCATGGATTGATTGATTGATTGATTGATTGACTGATTCATTGATTGATTGGTTGGTTCATCTGCTGATCGATTGGTTCGTTGATCGTTGATTGGTTGGTTGGCTAACGGACGAATGATAGATCGATCCGGCAATCGATTGCTCAATTGATGAGCTGATTGATTGATTGATTGATTGATTGATTGATTGATTGATTGATTGGTCGGTGGGTTGATAGATCGACCGATCAATTGATTGATTGGGGTTCGGCAGTGTCAGTCAGGTTTGTTTTACAGGTCATCCATCAGTCAGGCGCATGCGTTCGCTCATCGCTTCACTCAAATCAATCGATCATTCAATCAATCAATGATTGACTGTCTGTCCATTACACCCATTCATGTTTGCAATCAAATCACTTGATATGGCTGCTGCAGGTTGGCCGCGAGACTGGCAATCGCTGCCAGCAGGCAAACAATGCCAGCTGCCAACGTTGGAGGGCTTACACTTTGATTCAATTCAACCAATCGGCATTCGCGATTTGCATGGATGAACGTCACTTTTTCCGGTATGTCATCCTCCATACCTGTCTACCATAGCTTGTGAGATGCTTATCGCGTGCTTGGAAGAACGAACAGCAGAGAGTTCACTGACAAGTCAGATGAGGTGGTCGAAGGTGGCAAAGGGGATGTAAAGGAGAGGGTTTGGACGTGATCCAGTGTGGTGGTCTCAGGGTTTGAAGGGGTATTCGATTTGTCTATGGATCCTTCTGCTTTTCAGGTGCTCTTCCTCGGCGGCGTTGTAGATTAATGGCACGAGCCTGACCTCAGCGATTCCGAGCTTTGCTTGTTTCCGTAACTACAAGTTGGGCATGTGTATTCACAGGTTTCGGGTTGGGGGCGAGTTCCCGAGCTGTTTCGAACGGAACCATACCAGAGCTGTTTCGAACGGAACCATACCAGACCAAACTGGACCAAATCAGGCCGGGCCGCACCTTTCGAAGATGCAGGGACGTGCTTGCTCACACGTGTAATGTGTACTCAGCAGCAGTGCAGTGTTCGGGTTGGTGTTTCGTGCCCGGGCTGCACTGGACCTTAACCAAACTAGACTGGATCGGACGACAACATACGGAACCGAAACGAACCGAGAACCGAGCCTTTGGGATCGGTTGGTCGGAAATGACGGGGCGTGCGGCCGTGCTTGCTTCCGCCTGGAATGTGTACCCGGGCAGGCAGGGTGTTCAGTTCATTCCCACAGCGGTCAGGGGGTTTGAAGTGTGAGTGGTGTGTGTCTGTGGGCCGCATCGAGGTTGTCGGACAGAAGTAGCTCGCGGCCTGTGGGCTGGCTGGCAGGAGCCTGCGATGAAAAGACAAAAATAGTCCCAATCGTCTCTGCGGGGCTGGCTGCCTGTTTGTCTTGGCTTTGGAATCTGTTGTAGTGGGTGCGCCTGTTTGCTTCTCTTGGCATCTCTCTGATCCGGAGCAGTTTGGCTGGGTATAGACTCTGATATGTATAGACTCACCCTTACCCCTTCGCGAGGCTGCTTGTCAAAACCCTTTTCGTCTTCTGCGCTCTGTGTTTCTTCGTTTTTGAGGCGGTGTAGTCGCGGCTCCAACAGGCGTGTGCGAGGTTCCGGAAAAGGGGTCTGTTATGTAACCCCCCCCGTTTGCATGCTCCCGATCCCTGTCACTTGCTTGTGTGGCTTTTTGGCACTCGCTTGTGTGGCAGTTTGGCATGATCGGCTATTTTAGGGGTCGTACTCAGCTGCCGGCTAGCTATGCTTCTGCTTTGCTGCAACTTTCTCTGTGCCTGGTTCTTAGGCCCGACCTCCTCCTCGACAGGCGCACCTCGCTTGTCTCATCTGCTGCAGGGGAGTTGCGGTGATGGCAATGATTGTCGCAAAGCCTGACTGCATGCCGGGGCTTAGATCTTGCACTTGCTGTTTCTCTGGCCTCTGTTTGTATAGGCTTTTACTGTCTCTGGTTTGTGGTCGTGTGGGTGGCAGCGGTTTGATGCAGAGGGTCATTGCATGCACACCGTTGTCCTTCCTAGATGGAGAATTAGCAGAGGCTGTTTTGCCATGTGTATGCACCGCAACTCTTGTCCCCGCGATGGTGTTGGTAAGCTGGACTGCCTTGGTTTGCGTGAGTGTCATGTGTGCTTGCACATCCAACTTCAGATCTCGACCGCTTGGGCCTGTTTTCCTGTGGCGTTTTTTCTGCTCTTCCAGAGCTGCTGTATGCCACAAGCCTGGCTGACTTCGGTTGCGTGAGTGCCTGTGCATTCATGTGGGCATGCCTTTTAGGGTTGTGGTTCAGGAGGGGGAATTGTATGTGTGTTCTTTGCTATGCGGTGTCAGCATCGGTGAGGGTAGCAGGCGCTTTTGGGTTGACTTGAGGAATTGCTGCGTGCGCATGACTCCAATGCGGAGGCAGTTTGGGAGCTTGCACGAGGGTGGTTGGTAGAGAGAAAAGGGCAATGCGCGTGTGTGGAAGAGCGGAGAGAGGAACTTGTACATGTACGATAGCGAATTGCATGGCGCAGAGTGTAGAAGTTGGGAAACTCTTCTTCTGCAGTCCCTCAAAACCCATACTCTCCCCTCCACCGCCGCCTCCCTTCCTGCCTGACGAAGAGACGGGCAATGCGAGAGGGTGGTTGGTAGAGAGAAAAGGGCAGGAGAGGTTGATGAAAGTCCGGAGGTAAACTCTTCTTCTGCAGTCCCTCAAAACCCATACTCTCCCCTCCACCGCCGCCTCCCTTCCTGCCTGACGAAGAAACGGGCAGGAGAGGTTGATGAAAGTCCGGAGGTAGCAGAGCCTAACCGGTAGGGAAACACTCCTTTTATCCCCTTGCGGTGTATCTTTTGCATTATAAACTGCCACTTGACGACAAGGATGGGTGTGGGAAAGAGGGCGGGGGGGGGGGGGCCGGGGGGGGGGGGGGGGGGCATTGTTGGATGGGTTATAAGAGTGCAGTCGGGAGACGTTCCCTTGCTCATCCATTTTCCTTGTTGTCCTAGCTGACGGGCTGTGTCCTTGTATCTGGGTCATGACTGGGATTCGCTCCATTGGCGGGTTGGTCGATCTATATTTGTCATCACCGCATATGGTCTGCTCCTCTCCGTGCCTAGGGTGGTGCACTTCTGCATCTGCGCAGCTGAGTTAGCACTCTGGAATCGTGGCATTGATGGGGAGGCGATGGGGGGTGATGGCCATGACGACAACGAGGAAGAAAGAAGCAAAGAGAACAATTGCGGCTGCATTGCCGAGTGCGCGGAGCGTGAGTTAGTAGTCCGATTGCCGTGGGTTACTCGTTGGCAGAGTTGGAAGGAGCACTTTCTGCCATGCTGTGGGCCATGTGCATTGAACGAGAGGGAGGGACGCGTGTGTGGATCTGATATTTGAGATTGTGCAGAGTGGGAAGCAATGCAGCTCTGAAGGGGAGGGAGTGTGAGGCAGGGAGGTTGTGTGTGCAGATCTGATAGCCCGAATGGGAGGGAGAGTGAGGGCGGTAAGTGGGGTGTGTGCCGACGTAATTGTTGCGACTGTGCGGTCTGACAACGAATGCAATCCTGAAGGGGATGGATAGAGAGTTAGGGAGGTAGTGTTTGTGAATCTGATAGTTTTGCATTGTGCGGTCTGACGATGAATATAGCCTTTATGACTGAGATCATGAAGGTGAGAGGCGCAGCAGCGAAGGAAAGAAGTGACGGTATAGGTGACAGGAAAACGGATGAAGCCTTTTCCTCCTTCCGTGTGTGTGTGTGTGTGTGTGTGTGTCTGTGTGTGTGTGAGAGAGAGAGAGGGAGAGAGAGAAAGAGGATAATGAGAGCAGTGGTAGTGTAGATAGCGCCTATTGAGTGCAATATGTTGTGCTGATCTTTTGTCTGTTTTCTGGTATAGCCGATCGGTGGGCTGCAGTTTCCCTAGCTGATGATTGGAGGATCCTCTGTGATGGAGTGTAATGCTTTTGCTTTTTCCTAGTTTACGATCTTGAGCGATTGACGCGGAACACGCAGCTGCCTACTCTCTCTGTAATTTTCTTCCGTTCCCACCGACTCCTTTTGTAGAGAGTCCAGATTGCCCCTTCTCAACCAAGATGGCCTTTTTACTGACCCAGTTTTCTGTTGGCCGGCAGCCGCGCATCTGTCATTGATTCTTTGGCATCGGTCAGGGTTTCCAAAGCTGTATTTGTTGTTTATCTGTCTCTGTCCATAACTTCTTATAGGTGGAGGAGAGGTATACCTGTCAAGTGCCGTGTTTCTCTTGGAAGGCGCTTGTTTGCTCGCTGAGGATGCTTTAACTAGCAGGGGAATGTCTGGTGAGGCTGCGGCAAGGTCGGGTTTTGGTGATTCGTCCAAGAATGTTTGATAGGTGAAATCGAACCAACAATTCATTCTTTTTCTGCGGGTACCAAGCCATTTTCGTGCCTGTGTCCTGAGGCTGTGTTTTCCATATATTCGGAAAAGAGAGAACGGCAAGTGTGGCCATTATCTGTGTGGGATGAAATCCTGGAGAGAGGATGGGACAGGGAGGTGAGAATAGGAGAGGAAAGAAGGTTGCCAGTTGCTGCCCTGCAGAGGTAGGGAAGGAAAGCTAAGGGCGGTCGCGATTCTGTGTGTGTGTGTGTGTGTGTGTGTGTGTGTGTGTGTGTGTGTGTGTGTGTGTGTGTGTGTGTGTG